TGGGGTCCCATCAAACCCCCCTTGGGGTCCCATCAAACCCCCCCCATGGGGTCCCACCCCCCTCCACCCCAGTCCCACCCAATTTTATTCCAGTTCTCCATATTCAACTCTTTCTTTTCTAAAACCCAGGGCAAAACCATTTATTCCAGGAGTCTCTGGGACACAGAGGTGGGAAGGATATTCCAAGGCTTCGAGTCAGTCCAGGAGACCTGTCACCTCCCCACTGCCCCTGCCTGGCTCTGCTCTGCAACAAAGAAACCCTCCAGAAAGTCGTGTTCTCCTCAAGTGTCCGCTCTGGGGGCTGATCCTCGGACAAAACCAGGATGTTTGATTAAAGAAAACACCCTGAAATTATAAATTTAGATGATATTCCGGCGCCACGTGGAAAACAACTCCCCCCTGCATTTCACACCGGCGCATCCACAGCGGCTGAAGTTTAACCATGTGAAAGTGAAGGAAAGCTGGAGGATTATTCCCAGTTTCTGAGAATATTCTGGATGTTCTCCCCTCCAGACACAGCCCCAGAATCGACATCGACCGTTCCCATCCCAGGAGAGGGGTTGCCGTTAACGAAGATTCCCAGTTTCTCTGCAGGGAGAAAAACGGACCTGGGGCAGATTTGAGGCATTGTTTGAGCGTTAAGGTAAAAAAACTGCACGTTAAAAATCCTGACTGCCTCGGAATGTGACCTCGAGCTGCCCCAGAGGGATTTCCAGGGAGCAGAGGGCTGGTTTAATGGGAACATGACTCACTCCACACCCGTGAGCACATGGTATCACTTAGCAGAGCACAAACACAACTGCAGCTCCTCAGCCCCTCTCCAGCTCAGCAAGGAATTCCGTGCTCCCAAACATCCTCCCGAAGCCTGGAATACTCCGAAATCCAATTAAAAAAACCCACTTGGGAAAGCAGGGATCTGCTTCTCAGGAAGCAATTTGCAGGGATTCCCCTCAGAGGAGGCTTAGAGGGATAACCAGCTTTGAGAGGCAGGTGGGACACAGCCCGGGTCAGGCTCTGAGTGACAGGTGAACCCAGAGAGTTTTGGCTCCCTGGAGCTTGGGAAGGGCCATTCCCGAGGGATAATACTGAAGGACCGAGGAAATACTTTGCTTGCCGAGGGAAATTCCCGTCCCGCACCTCCGGACGCCGCCACACTGACTCAACCCCTCGTTAAAAAGAGTCTTTAATGAGAATCCCCCTCCGAGGTCCGTGAAACCACCTCGTCCTTCATCCTCAGCGAGTCTTCCCGGGGGGAACCGTCCGTGCCGGAGCTTTTGGGACGCCGGAGAGCCCGGCCCGGCCCTCTGTGGGAGCGGGACAGCTCCGGGACTCGGGGCTAGATGGAGGAGTCGACGGTGAAGTGGCCGTTGTGCGAGAGGGTGCCGCGGTCGGTCGTGTTCAGCTTGACCACGGTGGGCGTGTACTTGGAGTTGCGGGGGCACGGGAAGCACAGGATGCGGCGGAAGGTGCTCCTCATCTCCGTGTCGCGGTACGAGTAGACGATGGCGTTGATGAGGGAGTTGATCTCGGCCAGCAGCAGCACGTACTTCTCCACCGCCAGCACGTTGCAGCTCTTGCAGCCCAGCCCGTCCAGGAGCAGCACGACCTGCCCGGGGGTCCAGCAGATCACAAAGGCACCTGGGAGAGAGGTAATCCGGGGAAAAACGGGGGGAAAATGAGGGGGGAGTTGGGGGAAATCAGGGGAAAACCAGGGGAGAGTCGGGAAGAATCAGGGGGAAATCAGGGGGAAATCAATGTAGTCACAGGAATCTTGTGAAAAAAGTCACCCCACAGCTCCAAAGAGCAGGGAATGTCACCTCCCAGCCCTCCCTGCTGTCACCTCCCCACCCCACAGAGCCCAGGGTGGGGCATTAAAGTGTCATCTGGACTGAGCTGAGCACACGGACTCAGTAAATCCACGTCCTGAAACTGCTGAGTTCCTCAGCACCCAACCCAAACCACCACCCAGCCCACAGCCCCACAGCCCCAGACACCAGGGAACAGAATGTCACTTCCCTCACTTCCCTGTTGTCACCTCCCCACCCCACAGAGCCCAGGGCAGGGCATCAAAGCATCATCTGCGCTGAGCTGAGCACACGGACTCACTCAGGTCCTGAAACTCTTGGGTTCCTCTTCAGCCCAGCCCAAATCACCACCCAAACCACCACCCCACAGCTCCAGACACCAGAGAAGCAGAACCTCACTTCCCTCACTTCCCTGTTGTCACCTCCCCACCCCACAGGGCCCAGGGGGGAGGATTAAAACATCCTTTGGATTGAGCTGAGCACACGGACTAAGTAAATCCACATCCTGAAACTGTCGAGTTCCTCAGAACCCAACCCAAACCACCACCCAAACCACCACCCCACAGCTCCAGACACCAGGGAATGTCACCTCCCCACCCCACAGAGCCCAGGGCAGGGGACCAGAGCATCCTCTGGACTGATCAGAGCCCGTGGACTCACTCAGGATGATGGTGACCGTCTTGACCAGGCTGATCATGGTCTCCTTGTAGCGGGGGTGGAAGCTGGTGTGCTTGGACATCCTGGTCATCTTCCTCTTGACGTAGATGAAGATGTGCGTGTACACCACCACCATGATGAGGAAGATGACGAGGTTGGAGATGGCCCAGAAGGTCAGGTAGCTCCTGCTGTAGAGGGGGGCCATGCTGGAGCACTTGTCCAGGGCGCAGAGGCAGTGCCAGCCGTAGGAGGGGATGAGCCCCAGCAGCAGCGCCGTGACCCAGATGCAGAAGATGAGGATGGTGACGCGCTGGTTGGACATCTTGCTGTGCAGCTGCATGGTGAACACCGTCTGGTGCCGCTCCACGGCGATGGCCAGCAGGTTCACCACCGAGGCCGTCAGGCTGGTGTCCAGCAGGCTCTGCCGGATGAACCAGGTCTTGAGGGACAGCTCGGCCGTGCGGGGGCCCGTGTGGAACATGAGGAACATGTAGGCGATGCCCGCGAACAGGTCGGCGGCCGCCAGGTTGCCCAGCAGGTAGTAGATGGGGTAGTGGAAGCGGCGGTTGATGACGATGGCCGTGATGACCAGCAGGTTGGTCAGCAGCACGATGACACTCACGGTCAGGCCCAGGGCCACCACCAGCACGTCCTTGGTGCGCCAGTACGTGGTCAGCTCCTTGCGGGAGTTGTTGTAGAAGAAGCCCACGGTCTCGTTGTAGAAGCAGTGCCTCATGGCGGCGGCCCTGGGGGGGACAGGAGGGTTGGGGGCACCTCAGGGGGACACAGCCGGGGGGGCAGAGCCCTGCAGGAGGGCTCTTGGCAGGGGTGGGGCCTGGAACAGCCAGGAACAACCACAGGATGGATGGGAGAGAGCTTGGAACACTCTGGAACAACCACAGGAGGGATGGGACAGGGAGGAGCTTGGAACATTCAGGAACAACCACAGCATGGATAGGAGAGCTTGGAACACCCAGGAACAACCACAGGGAGGAGCTGGGAACACCCAGGAACAACCACGGGAGCAACAGGAAAGTCCTGAGCTGTCCCCAGAGCCCTCGGCTGCCCCCAGAGTCACCCTGAGGAGGCAGCAGGACCTGGAAGGCTCCTGGGAGGAGGTTGGATCTGCCAGATCCAATAAGGGAATGTCCCGGTCGGCCCACGGGACAGACTAAACTGTTGTGGTTGTCCCAGACGTGATGCTTCAGAAATGTGAAAACAAAGAGGGTTTATCAGCCAGTTCCTAAACATTCCCTCCCCCCCATGGAGGCTGAGGCTCCACAGCTGCTGCTGCCCCAGGAATGCTCTGGGAGCACCAAAGCTCAGCCTTCCTGGGCAGTTTTGCTGCTTAAAAAAGCCCAACAGAAGCCATGGCTGCTTCCAGACACTGCTCCATGTGCTGGTCCTTCCTGAACAGGTGGGGGCTTCCCAAACTTTGCCCGAGGCAAAGAGAGGGATGGGAACAGCCCCTCAGCCCTGGAGAGTGAACAGCAGCAATAAATGAGGACACACAGCCATGGGGGCGGATCTCTGCAAGAGCTGGGTCATCCAGGACATTTCGGGACCACATGGACTGTGTGGGATCATGGAATCGTGGAATGGGCCGGGTGGGAAGGGACCTTAAAGCTCATCCTGTCCCACGGGCAGGGACACCTTCCATGGCTCAGGTTGCTCCAAGCTCATCTAACCCGGACTTGGACACTTCCAGGGGTGAGGCAGCCACAGCTTCTCTGGGAATTCCATCCCAGCCCCTCCCCACCCTCTCAGGGGGGGATTTCTCCCCAATATCTGCCCTAAACCTTCTGTTTTCTGGTTTAAAGTCACCTGTGCAGCGAGGGAAGCGACTCCCTTCTTCCCAGCCAGCTCTGGAACGAGGCTGCAGCCCCAAAAATCCCCAAATTGGGTGGAAAAACCGTATAGAAAAAGTTGTTTGAGGCTCCTCACGTTTCTTTGATACCCAGGGCTGTGCTGGGAGCAAGACCTGACAAGCCTCCGGTGTGGATTCCAGCGGGAAGAATCCATTCCCAAAGCCGCAGCTTCCTGGTCCCTGAGGAGCCAAGCACGAGCAGCAGGTAAAGGTAAGGATATTTCACCCCCCAGCCTCGGATTTTACACCTGGGAATCAACAGGGTTTTGCTCCAGCGGGAGAGGACCCAGCCCATGGCAGGGGGTGGAACCAGAGGAGCTTCAAACAGTTCCCTTCCCACCCAAACCATTCCATGGTTGACTCGTCCATAAAAAAAAAAAAAAAGGCAGGAAAAACACAGCCTGAGGGATGAGAACCCGCTGATCCCACCCCACAGATGTTCCTGCTCCTTCCCTAACCCAGAGCCTGGAAATCTCAAGTCAGGCCTGGCTTTGATCCCACAGGGATGGGCAAACCCGGCCCGGAGCCTCCGGAGGTGCCGAAAAATGACACGAATTTTCCTTCCCCTGGAGAGTTGTGCACATGAATCACCGGCTCTGCCCGTCCCCGAACATCCACTCGGGGAGCTGAGCCAGGGGAGGGTCAGGCTGGATATTTGGGAGAGGTTTTTCATCCAGAGGGTGGTTGGACACTGGGAACAGGCTCCCCAGGGATCGGTCACGGCTCCAAGGCCGCCAGAGCTCCAGGAGTTTTGGGACAACAGGGACAGGGGGGGATTTTGGGGTGTCCTGAGCAGGGCCAGGACTTGGACTCGATGACCCTTGTGGGTTCCTTCCAACTCAGGATATTCCATGATTTTAGAGCTCAGGGAGCATTTGGATAACACCCTCAGGCACAGGGTGGGATTTTGGGGTGTCCCGGGCAGGGATTGGACTCAACGACCCTTGTGGGTCCCTCCAGCTCAGGACATTCCACGATCCTCCTCATTTCAGAGAAGGCAGCAGGAACACAACTGTCACAAAACAGGGAGGAACCCCCGAGTGCCTGAGTCAGCCCCGCGTTAATCACCCCGAAACCCAAACCCTGCTCGGGGCCCTCCCGTTCCCGAGCTCTGCAGGCAGAGGAGACTCCAGGGCTGCGTTTTCCGGGACGCTCCGGCCGGAGCCCTCGGCGTAGCAACAGGGATCGTTCCGGCCTTATCTGCGGCACCGCACCCACCTGGGTTGTGCAAACAAGGAGCCGAGCCAAGAAAACCCCATTGTACCTGCAGCTGAACTTTTGATCCCGCTGCCTCCTCCGACACCCCCCGAGGGGAGAGCTGGACACCCGGGATGGGCCACTCAGAAAGCTGCTGAGCGGGGAAATATCGCCTTTCATAAACATTGGGGGGGGAGAAGGAAAAGAGGAGGGGAGGAGTCAGGTTGCCCCGGGGGGGGGGATTTTAGGTGGGCTGGGCCTGTGTAGCAAGCCCGTCTTCCCTCTTTTCCTCAGCTCCTGGGATGTTTGTGGACCCGGAGCCGAGCGGGAGTCGCGTGGTCCCGATGGAATGGGAGGGACGGAAGGAGCCTGCGGTGGCCTGGCAGGTAACCGGGAGCGTTCTGGCTGGAATGTGGGGAGCTGGAGGAAGGACGAGGAGGGGAGGAAAGCCCTGGGAGAGGAGGAACGCTGTGAATCATGGCAGGCTGATGAGCACCTTCCCAGGGTGTTCCCGGGCAGGTACGGGATCAAGGCCGGGCCATTCACATGCAGAACAGCTTCCTCTCAGTGTGCAACAGCCCCAAATCGCTGGAGTTCAGGAAGTCACAGAATCATGAACGGTCTGGGTGGGAGGGGACATTTTAAGGTCACCTCGTTCCACCCCCCTGCCACGGGCAGGGACACCTTCCACTATCCCAGGTTGCTCCAACCTGGCCTTGGACACTTCCAGGGATGGGGCAGCCCCAGCTTCTCTGGGAATTCCATCCCAGCTCCTCCCCATTCTCACAGGGAATCCACCTAAATCTTTCCTCTTTTAGTTCAAATCCCTTCCCCCCTTGTCTTGTCACTACCTTGCCCGGGTGAATCTCACAAACCCCCTCCAAGCCCCGGCATCACACACAAATCCGGAGCGTCCGCGCTGATGCCAACACCCAAACCCGCTTCTCTGGGCAGGACTTGGAGCGCGGGGAAAACTCGGAGAGCCCCAAATCCCTCCGGAACGTGCCGAGGGCTCGGAGCCCGCCCCGCTCGGGGTGTTGCAGAGCAGGGAGCGACAGGTTAACAACGCCCGTGAGCGGCTCCGGGAGCTCCGCTGCCACCCTGCAATTACCGCCCGACCTTGGGGCTCGGCACAAGGACGGCCGGGGCCAGAAATCCCCATCGCCCGGGAGGGGGATGAGAAAAGAGCCCGAGGAGCAGCAGAGCCGAGCCGGGGCTGGGGCCATGATGCACAAAGGAGCTGGATGAGTCTATTGTTCGGTGTCCGAGCAACCCCCCGGGCTCCGCTCGGCTCTGCCCGGCGCGAGGTCCGGGCTCTCCGGCTTTGTTTACTCGGTAAAACGAGCGGCTGGCTCCGAGCTGCGCCCGCTCACGGCCCCTTCGCCTTGAGCAATCGGCAAACACCGCCCGGCTCCCCCCGCCATCCAAGCGCGGCTCTTCCAGGGGGGCAGGAGCCGGCTCGAAAGGAGGGCAGGACACGTCGTGTCTCCTCTGGGATTTCTCGCCCTCCACAGCTCGAGTTCGCGGCGAGTTCAGGAGTCCTCCGCGCCGCGGTAAAGGTGTGATTCCTTTTTAATTCCTGGGTAATTCCAGTTCCTCCCGGGGAAGCACTTAACTCCAGGATCTGGGAAGGCACCCGCCACTTGTTGCCAGCCCCGCAGCCGCGCATGGAGCGGGGATGAATGGCTTGGAATTCGGCTCCCACTTAATAACCACAATCAGCGCCGATCGAGGCGGAACAATGGATCCGTAAAGGCTCCCGGGGCTCACATCCAACCTGTTTTACCCACGGCTTTCGAGCCAGCCGCTCCAGCCGCCGCTCCATTTTTTTAAGCCTGGAAGAGCATTTTTACTCCCGAGAGGAAAATCTTACCTGGGAACTCAACGCCGCCTCCGAACCCGGCGCTCAGCATCGACCTCGGCGCCCCGGGGAGCCAGGGCGGCGATCCTGCGAGGGGATCCCCATCTCCTGGAGGGCAGAGCCACTTCCCAAGCCGGGGAATGACCCCCTCTCCCCCCCGAGCGCCTCACAGGAAAGTTTGAGCCGCGGAGTCCATCGCGGGGAGAAGCTCCTGGGAGGCGACTTGTGCGGCTGCGGAGGAGCCGCGGCCTCCTCGGATCCTCCCCTGGGCGGGTCCTGCGGGCCCCGGGAGCCGAAATCCGAGCCCTCGGCGCCTCCTCGGAGCCCCAAAAGCGCTTCCCGAGAGCCTCCGGCCGCGGCTGGATCGAGGTGGCTCCGCGGCGGCCGCATCGCCCCGCAGGACCGGTCCCGGGGCGGGAGCGGCGCCAGGACCCGCCCGGCAACTGGTCCCAGTGCCGCCGCCGCACTGGGGAGCCCCGGCCGGGGAGCGGGGCGGCCCGAGGGTCCCGGGGGGAGGGACCGGAGCACCCGGGCACCGACAGCACCCGCAGCTCGGGGGCACGTCGGGTCGGGATCCAGCCCCCCACATCCCGGGTGGATCTTTGGATCAGGATCCAGCCCCTATATCCCAACTGGACCATCAGTCAGGATCCAGCTCCCTCGCCCCCCCATTTCCAGTGGGCCATTAAGTCAGTATCCAACCCCCCCACATTCCAACTGGAGCATGGGGTCAGAATCCAGACCCCCTCCTTCTGAGTGGACCAGAGGGTCAGATCCAGCCCCACATTCCAGCTGGACCATGAGGATTCAGCCCCTCACATCCCAACTGGACCATCAGGTCAGGATCCTCCTCCTCCTCCCTTGTCTGCTTCCCTGGGAACGATGTCATCATCAGGAACAGCCCTGACCTGCTGCCAGGGACACCGGGAGAGCAGGACCTGCCCTGGGAGATGGGGACAGCCCGGGACAAAGGGATGGACACTGGGACAGGGATCCACAGGGACAGGGATCCAAGGGACAGGGATCCACAGGGAGGAGGCTACGGAGAGCCTGGGACGAAGGGATGGAGACAGGGATCCCCAGGGACAGGGACAGACACAAGGACAGGGATCCACAGGGGTGAGGCTGTGGAGAGCCCAGGACAAAGGGATGGAGACAGGGATCCACAACAACCCCCCTGGGATGGAGCACTGGCTGCTGAACAGGGACAGGACTGCGGAGCCCCGACAGCCACCAGTCCAGCCCCTCTTCTCCCCCCCCCTCGTCCCCTCCATCCCTCCAGGAGTTTTCCTGTTCCTCCCCCATTCCAAAGGGTCTCCCGGGGTGTCCTGGCGTTGTCCCCCCCAAGCCGGGTCATGGAGTAACCTGATCCCAACCCGGCCACGTCCTGGTGCCCAGCAGAGCCTCCGCAGGGAAACACTTCCAAGGAAAACATCTGTCCCCTCCCCTTTCTTCCACTTCTTTCCAAGGGGGGTTTTAATTGTTTGAGTGGATTTTGCGTTCCCAAACAAGCCCTAAAGGCAACATTTTCCTTTAACCCCCTCTGCTGCCACTGCACCCCCCCCATGACCATCTGAAGGGTTGGTTTTTTGGCTGCTTTTTTGGAATCCCAGGAATGTTTAGAAACCTCCTGGAAGGGGTCATGTCATCCCAATGTCATCAGCAGCCCCCCAAAATTGCTCCAACGAATCGTTCCTGAGTCCCAGCTGGCTCAGAGATCCCCAAACCCTCTCAGAGGAGCCCAATCCCACAACCCCCCAGCTCCCAGGGATGGGAGAAGCGCATCCAGGAACCTTTAAAAATGCAGGAATTCCATCACACCCCCGGCTGCTGGATCAGTGCCAGCTCCGGAGCAGAGCTGGTGGGAGCCCAGACCATCAAAGAATCCCTTAAAACAAAGGGATGGGGAAGGAATCCCAGCCCACAGCAGGGTTTTGCTTTTCCTCCAACGAGTTAACAACTGTTTGGAATCCCAAAAAAATCATGAAGGACCTGGAAAACTCCTCCCTCCCCCTTTCTCCTTCCCCAGGCTCGGCTGTTTGGGACACTCTAATTCAAGTATTGTTGGAAACACCTTAAATTGGGGCCTGAAGGGAAACATGAACCTGGGATCTCGTCGCCTCTGCTCGTGGGATGAGATGGAAAACCAGCTGAGGATGTCGTTGGAAAGGGGCGAAGCCAACACTCCGCTCCCCCTGGTAACCACCCTGGGCATGGATTTGGGTGGGATAACATCCCTGGACGCTCTTGGTGGCTATTCCAGCCTCTCCAGGAGGAAAACAGGGCGGGGGGGGGGTTTATTTTGGAGCAGGGATGGTCTGGGGGCCCCTCCGTGTGGCTCCTCCTAATCCACACGGGGAGGAAGGGAGTTATCCCCCAGGGAGAGCAGGAGGCAGGAGCAGCAGTTCCAAGGCCCCTGGGTGATGTCCCATCATTTGGGGTTGGAATCACATCGGGACCCCAGGACCCTTCACCACCTCCCTTGGGCATTTTTAATGCAATTCCCAGTTTTTAAGCTGTTTACAGTCACTCCCTAAATTCTGGTCTCTAGGAATTACTTTTCTTCTCCCCTTTTTTGGTAAACAGACAACAAAAACGTTACTTTTAATCCCAATTCTGGCAAATAAATGCCTGAGATACCCCGGCAAGATCTTTCCGGCGCCAGATTCCGGGATGACATAAGGAAATACATCCCACTCCGGGTCGGACTATCTTAATTACAGTGATTTTTCAGGTGGGAGAAGCTGGATGTGGGAGCCATCCCAGAGCTCTTGGAGCTGCTTAAGGGTCTTCCTCCCCTTCTTCCTCCCCCTCTTCCCTGTCCTTGTCCTTGTCCAGCTTGTACTTGAGCCGGCGCAGGGGGTGCGTGAGGCTCCTCCGGGCGTGGTTGTCGAAATCCTCGGCCAGGCGGAAATTCCGGTCCAGGATCTCGGCGGCCTCCTGCCAGTTCTGGAAGCACTTGGGGCCCATCCTCTGGATCTCCTCCACGGCGTTGGCCACCAGCACGTCCCCGCTGGGCTTCAGCACCACCACGGCCGGCACCTCGGACACGGCGAAGCGCAGCTCCAGCTCCCTGCCGGCAACGGGAACGGAATGGGAGTGGGAGTGGGAATGGGAATGGGAACGGGAACGGGAATGGGAATGGGAATGGGAATGGGAATGGGAATGGGAACGGGAATGGGAATGGGAATGGGAATGGGAATGGGAACGGGAATGGGAATGGGAATGGGAATGGGAACGGGAATGGGAATGGGAACGGGAACGGGAATGGGAATGGGAATGGGAATGGGAATGGGAACGGGAACGGGAATGGGAATGGGAACGGGAATGGGCTGGGGGGTCCCATGGGAATTGGCACTGGATGGAGGTGGAAGAGGGGGTGGAAAGGGGTGGGATGTGGGGTTTGGGTAAGGGGAGATGGGATTTGGGTAAGGGGAGGTGGGATTTGGGGGATGGGAAATAAGGGGTGATGGGATTTGGGTGTTGGGATTTGAGTGATGGGATTTGGGTGTTGGAGAGATGGGATTTGATGGGAGATGGGATTTGGATGATGGGAGATGGGATTTGGGTGTTGGGAGATGGGATTCAACTCCCAGGTCCTGTTTTTCCAGCCATTAAACATCAACAAGAGGCTCCAAATTCCAACCTCCTGCAGTTTATCCTCCAAAAGAGCCGGGGATCATTCTGGGTGTTAATTAGGCTCGTTCTGCTGCTAACGAGGTTACAGTAATTGGTTCCAATCCGGCCACATCCCAGTCCAGGGCTCTGGGGCCTGGCCTGCAATGTTTGGGACTTATAAATAGAATGGAAAATCGGGATACGGGAACAGCGGGAATATTTTATGTATTTTAAATTAAACCTCCTTGGTTTTGGGGGTCCTGGGGCTGTGGGAACCCTGTTTTTGGGGTCCTGGGGCTGTGGGGTCCCAGTTGAGGGGTCCCAGAGCTGTGGGGTCCTGTTTAAATATATGTATATATATAAAATATATATATAAAATATGTATGTATTATATTATGATATATAATGACATTATATTTATATAGAATATTATATACAATGACTTTATATTTATATATTATATATAATGACATGATATTTATATATAATATTACATATAATGGCATTAGTATTATATTTACATATAATACTATATATGACATATATTATATATATGTCATATATGACATATGATGACATTATATGACATTATGACACAGATTAGACTAGATTATATGACATATATTATAATTAAAATATTTCCAGCAGGTGCAGCCAAGGGGCTCCGTGGGTTTCCCACTCACACCCCACACCGACCTCTCCAGTCTTACAAGACCCTCAACCCCCAGACAAGACCCTCGACCCCCCAAGCCGCCCCGTGCCCCGGCCGTACCTGCCGAAGGTGTCCCCGAAGGGCAGAGCGAGCCAGCGGCGGGGCATGGAGCGCAGGAAGGCGCTCTGCTGCTCCTCCGTCTCGTCGCGGGACACGTAGACCAGGACAAGCTGGCGGGAGCGCTCCACGTAGAACTCGTCGGTGAGGCGCTGGAAGAAGTCCTTGAGCAGGGGCGCGAAGTCCCGGCAGCGCGGGCACTGCCCCGAGCCGAAGTAGAGCAGCAGCACTTTGTTGTCCAGCGCCCCGCGCAGCTCCCGCTCCGTGTCCAGCTCGTCCTCCTCCCGGTTCGCCTTCAGCACCTTCCCGGCGAAGAGCGCGGACATGGCAAGGGGAGGAAGGCTCGGGGAGGAGGGGAGGTGACGGATCGGGACGCGGAGCAGCGGGAGAAGGGGGATGGAGCCCCCCGGGGCGCCTCTGCTGCCCCCGCCGCGATCCCGGGATTAGCAGCGAGGATTCCCGTGATCGGATTAAATGGGAGGGGCTGGGAGATGAGGCGGGGGCGTCCTGGGGTCAAGGGGGGGTGTTTGAGGTTGTGGGGGTGTGGGCGGTGCTGGGACTGTTGGGTCTTGGCTGTGGGGTCTCGCGGCGGAGGGGTCTTGGTTGTGTAGGTGCCCATGGTCGTGGGGGTCTGGTTGTGGGGATCCTGGTTTTAGGGGTCCTTGGGTCTGTGGGGTCCCGGTTATGGGGTCCCAGGGGTGTCGGTCGTGTAGGTCCCCATGGCTGTGGCGGTCTCAGGGCTGAGGGCTCTTGGTTGTTGGGTCCCAATGATGGGTGTCCTGGGGCTGAGGGGTTCCAGTAGTGGGGGTCCCGAGGCCCATGGATTCCCAGTTATGGAGGTCCTGGTCCATGTGAGTCCAGTTTTGGGGGTCCTGGGGACCAGTTTTGGGGGGTCCCCTCCGTCCCCCCCGCACCGGCACTGCGTGTGGGCGTGGCTCCTCCAGACCCCGCCCTCCTCCCGCTCTGACCCGCCCCTCTCAGACCCCGCCCTCCTCCCGCTCTGACCCGCTCCTCTCCCGCCAGACCCCGCCCCTCTCCCCTCTCC